GCTGCACTTTTAACATCAGAAGCTGCAAAAGCCTCTTTGGGCTCCACGACTTTGACAATGACAGTAGCTGTTGCTGAGAGGGAAACGTTACCATTGTCTTTCACCAGTATGACCAGTTTATGCTCAGCCTCGTCTGTCTCCACTGGACAAAAAGGCCTAATATCCGGGGAGATACAACAGTATGCAAGTCTACGTATCTGCCACATATCCAATATATTTCCGGTGCTATACGGGGAGATCTCATCTGTCACAGATCCTAGTACAGGATATCCCACGCATACCCATCTGTGATAGATCCTAGCACTGGATATTTTCTGGATACCCATATATGATAAATCCTAGTATAGGATATTTTCCAGATACACATCTGTGATAGATCCTAGTATAGAATATTTTATGCATACCCATACTCGAGAGATCCTAGTATTGGATATTTTTTGGATACCCATATGAGAAAGATCTTAGTATTGGATATTTTCCAGATATACATCTGTGGTAGATCCTAGTATTGGATATTTTCTGGATACTCATACATGATAAATCCTAGTATAAGATATTTTATGCATACCCATACTTGAGAAATCCTAGTATTGGATATTATTTGGATACCCATATGAGAAAGATCCTAGTATTGGATATTTTCCAGATACACATCTGTGATAGGTCCTAGTATTGTATATTTTTTGGATACCCATTTATGATAAATCCTAGTATTGGATATTTTCTGGATACTCATACATGATAAATCCTGGTTTAGGATATTTTCCGGATACATATCTGTGATAGATCCTAATATTAGATATTTTCTAGATACCCATACATAATAAATCCTAGTATTGGATATTTTCCGGATGAACATCTGTGATAGATCCTAGTATAGAATATTTTATGCATACCCATACTTGAGAGATCCTAGTATTGGATATTTTCTGGATACCCATATTTAAAAGATCCTACTATTGGATATTTTCCTGATACACATCTGTGATAGATCCTAGTATTGGATATTTTCTGGATACCCATACTTGAGAGATCCTAGTATTGGATATTTTCTGGATACCCATATAAGAAAGATCCTACTATTGGATATTTTCCTGATACACATCTGTGATAGATCCTTGTATTGGATATTTTCTGGATACCCATACATAATATATCCTAGTATTGGATATTTTCTGGATACCCATACATAATAAATCCTAGTATTGGATATTTCTGTATACCCATACATAAGAAATCCTAATGTTGGATATTTTGCGGATACACATCTGTGATAGATCCTAGTATTGGATATTTTCTGGATACCCATGCATAATAAATCCTAGTATTGGACACATCTGTGGTAGATCCTAGTATTGGATATTTTCTGGATACCCATACATGAAAAATCCTAGTATAGGATATTTTCCAGATACACATCTGTGATAGATCTTAATATTGGATATTTTCAGGATACACATCTGTGATAGATTCTAGTATTGGATATTTTCTGGATACCCATACATAATAAATCCTAGTATTGGATATTTTCTGGATATATATATTTAACTGTGTGTGTGTGTGTGTGTGTGTGTGTGTGTGTGTGTGGGTGCGTGCGTGCGTGCGTGCGTGCGTGTATGTATGTGTAAAATTTTATCTTTACACAAATCCTAAAGGATTTTCTTTCTATCAAATGTGTATAACACAGATAGGGGTGACGTGTCAAAGATGTCAAAGATTAGCAACAAAACTGACCTTAGTATCAAATACTCCCTCTGGTATCTCTCATGGTCAAAACTGTTCAATTGACTTCCAATTAAAATTAAAATTGTGTTTTTATCTCTCTTTAATTAGCTTTAAACACTGCCATTCAGCTGTTTTTCCATTGTAGGAAATCTTTGTATTTTGAGATTTAAATGTTATTGCATCTTGAAACCACCAGGGAGCACTAAAAGTTATCTATTTGCAGGTTTGAAATTATTTCTGTTAATCAAAACGTTGATTTGGATGTTTGTTAAGAATTTATTTTACTCACACATACACAAAGAAAAAAAAGGGATTTCCACCGGTGGTCTTAAAGCTCCATAATATGATTCTACATAAAAAGCTCACCATAAGATAGTAGCTAAACAGAACTTGTTTCCCCACAGAATCCATTGTTTTGGATGTGGTTCAAATTGAATTACTATTACCCTTCAGATTAATATGAGAGTTCATTGTTATTTTTTACGTTTGGTAATTTTGATGGTTGGGAATTTAACTTCCAGTCTGTGTTTCCTTAATGTAAATTGGATTACCCAAACCTGTTCATTTTAATGTATTATATAGTGCTTATTTAGTGCTTCATTAGATACAATGGGCCAGATTCAACAACTTCATATTTTGCTCCTAAATTTCTCCTACTTTTGTTCGTACGAACATGGTACGCCAGAACAATTGCTTCTATCTTGAGGAAAAGTGTGTAAATCAGGTGCGTATTTGATTAATATTTTAACTGGTTAACTGGTCATCATTAACTTCACGCAGACTCTTCCACTGGTACATTTTCATCTTTAAATCACTTCTTGGTCTGCTGCCTTCATACATCTCCTCCTACATGTCTCTGTGTGAGTGCAGCTACAGTGTGCGCTCTCAGGACATGATTACCTGTAGTGTTCCATCAGTGAGAACTGAGCTTGGCAAAAGGGCCTTCTCCTACTCCGCTCCTTGTTCCTGGAATATCTTACAAAAAGATCTGAAGATCGCGACCTTGACTTCTCTAAATGGCTTTAAGAATCTGTTGGTATCCTGGCAAAAACTAATGCAGACATGTTCCTGTTTTTGATTTTCTACATCTGCCTTATAATCTGTCTGTTTTGCTACTTTGACATCTTTGTTTTAACTTGTTAAAAAAAAATCTGTATTCCTCTATTGTCTATTGTTGACTGTCCAAGGAAAATCTACTGTTGCTGTTGTCATCATTCTTTGTTTGTAGCCAGGTGTCTCTTGTAAATGAGTCCTCGAGGCTCAATGGGATTAACCTGCCTAAATAAAGGTTGAATGAATGAATGAATTGCACCTGATTCTGAGTAAAATTATGCACGTGTGGGGCAATTAGCATAATTCCCCACCCCAATAATACCATACTGTATAAGGCGACACTTTTCTGGTGTTCATTCAGCTTGTTTAGATTATCATCAGTCAATTTGCGTCTCTGACATCTGAAAGGATAAACCCATATTTTTTACAAAACGGATTCCAAAAAAGTTGGGACACTAAACAAATTGTGAATAAAAACTGAATGCAATGATGTGGAGGTGCCAACATCTAATATTTTATTCAGAATAGAACATAAATCACAGATCAAAAGTTTAAACTGAGAGAATGTTTCATTTTAAGGGAAAAATATGTTGTTTCAAAATTTCATGGCATCAACAAATCCCAAAAAAGTTGGGACAAGTCCATTCTGACCACTGTGTGGCATC